TAAAGCATATCCACAAATGAAGCATTTAGCCAGATGGAACAGGAATGAAGATACAAAAAGTGAAACAGAATCCTTCAGGATTTACATTTGGTTGTTATTGCCAAGAGGCTTACCTTTCTATCCTGACTCTAGTAAACCTCCCATTGATATCTTTTAGACTTTAGCCTGAGTAAGGAGTTAAGCCTTGAACACTAAATAGTTATGAAATCAGACCAGTTTCCTGTTCCCATTAGAATGATTTTCACTTTTTAAAACTTTATTTTGGACAGAGACAGCTGCTGCCACAAAATGAAATTTATCTTGTAGACAGATATTGAAAGAATTTTTACAACAGATTGACTAGTTACTCCATAAAGGCTCCAGTAAGCAGCTTGCTTTGCAATGAATGACATATTATTTACTTCTATTTATGTCATTATCAGACACAGAAGAGTATCCATTTTCAGTGTTTATCAAATAGAAAAGCTGAGTAATACAAAACTGGCCATAGGAAAAACTTACATAACTTTCATAGAAATTTCACGCATAAAGGATTGTTATAGGATTCACAAAAAATAATAGGGAAATATATGGAAAATATCTGGTTGAAAAATGCCTTCCCGGGGGGTGCCTTTAGTAGCAATTTTTAGTTCCATGTGTTATCTTTTTTTTACCTTTTTAAAGCTGGCTGTATACATTTTTAAAGTTTTGAAAACCTTAGAACAAGTTATTTAATACTGGTGTAAGTGGATTAAATATAATTGCCTGTGATGTACACAAGGTCAGACTGGAAGATCTAATGGGCCTTTCTGACTTTAATCTCTTTAAACCTATGATTGTATATCCCATGACGTTACACAAAAGGATCATTGATAACCCTTTACATTTGTACTACTGAATTCAGGAATATGACTGCTGAGTTAGTTGGTGAAAAACATCTGATTCCTTTCTGAAAGATTTCAAGTACAGTGATTCTTAATTAAAGATGCAACATGATGTCACAAGTTTACATTGCAGCTTTATATTTATGGTTGCCATTAGAAGATTTCTGGATCCAAAGACAGTCACAGACCTCATGGGTATATTAGACTCTCTTATAGGTTCACCAGAAAGATCAATTAAATCCCATTCTCAATCAAAACAATTAGGGGTTATGGAGGGATGAGGCTGCATGGTCAGTTAAAGATAAGCCATGTGAAATGGAATGGGTTCCTGGCTGCAAACACCAAGGCTAGGGACACACCTTACACATACACTGGTTTAAGTGATCTGAAACTGGTTTAAACCTGTAACAGAACAGATGTTCAGCACACATAAATCAGTTTGAAATTGGCTGAAACCGGTTTGAGATGAACCTGGTTGAATGTAGTATCAGACTTAACAGATTTGGGTCAGACCGGTTTGTGCAATGTCTGTTCCAGACCCCTTGCTGATTTAAGTTTAATTAGAGTCCCCCAACATCCTGGCATGCTCTCTGAGCTGGGTAGAACTCTGTGCTCCACAGCAGGGCTAGCCCCTCCCTTCTGCTCCCTGGCCAGAGCTCCAGCAGAGACTTGCAGGCACAGCAGTGTAGGCTGGCTTCCCCGTGCCCCACTCTCCCCACCCCCTCACTATTGGCTACTAAAGCACAGATCCCTTCCTCCTTTCTGCCACAGCATGGAACATAGCCAATACATGCTATGCGAGCTAATGCTGTGTAAGGCTCCAGCAGAGACTGCAGACACAGCAGGGTATGCCTGGCTTCCTCCTGCCTTCCCCCCACACCTACTGCTCAAGCAGGAAATCCACCCATCCCTCCCTCCCATCTCTCACAGCAGGGACCCCAGCCCCACGGACCCGAGGCATGTGGTATGCTAGCCCAGCATTTCCCAACCGGTGTGCCATCAGACATTACCAGGTGTGTCATGGGATCTTGGGGGGAAGTGGCTCCTGGAGGGGCGTGGCTCCAGCCAGTGCCACCACCACTGCCCTGCACTGCCACCACCACCCCATATTCAGCCACACGGCACCACCCACTCCCGCTCTGCATTTGGCCAGTGTGCTGTGGGATAGGAGAGGCCATGTGAGATGAAAAAGGTTGGGAAATGGTGTGCTAGCTAATGCTGAGATGTGTCTGTGTGTATGTCTCTCTCCAATTTCACTGGGGCAGGTACACAAAACAGTGACTGCTTAGGGCTGTTTGGAGCTAATCAACAGGTCAGCCAGTAAGCTGTTTAAGAAGTTTGAAGTAATGGAGAGAGGCCATTGTTTTACTAAATCACGTGATAAAGACTTATCACTATTATCCCTCAGATGACTTGTTTGCCTGTCAGTTTGCTGCAGACAGTATGATGAAGCAAGGAGGGAGAGTGAAAAGCTCCGTATCATCAACAGATGCATGCACTGCACCCCCCCCACTTGCCTCAGAGTGCTAGCCCATGGCTGGGGGTTGGCAACACTCCTACCCCTTGAGCAGTCAGCAGGGAAAAACCCACTGGGACCATGCAGGCAGACCTCCCAAATGAGAGAGTCCTGCTCAGGCCTGGCCACACCTCAGTCAACTCAGCTCCCTGCAGAAGGGAAGGGAGGGCTGCTCTAGCACCCGCTGGCTTCTAGGCTGAGCCAGAGCAGGCATGTGCCTGAATTTCCTCAGTTTAGAGAGAATGTTTGTCTGGTTTCAAACCAGTTCAGCCTAGTCAGGTTAAACTAACCTGTAAAGATTGAATCAATTCAGGCTCAGGCTTTTTGAATATCTGTCCCTAACCCAAGGCTAGGAACAGGTGTTGCATTTGTCCCTGGACAAGTTGTGCTTGCCAAGCACTGTCACTTTTCTGCCATTGATTCAATCTTGGGATAACTCTTCATATGCACTTTGCGGTGTGCCAGGATAAACTGTTAGTACTTCTTGTCTTGTGATTCTTTTTAGGGTTTATCCTGGGGAAATGGACATGGATGTCTTAAGAGTCACACTTTTTTCCAGGATAAAATGATTTATCCTAGAATAAATGTGACATCTGTTTGTAGTCTAAGTATGTCCACATGGCACAATCAAGTGCCAGATAGAAATACCTTCTAAACCTACTCAGTAGTGTAACCTACTGAGAGTTAATGTGGCCATGTAAGCTAGCTTGGTATCTCTGTATAGCACTGAATTGTCCCATCTAGATTTGCCTGTTGGGGCTAGGCTATTTGTTGCAGGTCTTATATACTGGAAGTGAATACCCAGAATGATTTTTGCATGTAACCTTGGGAGGAAACAGAGGGACAGGACTTCCCAGGAACAGAAATCACTGCTATCAAGGCAGATTTGGGTATTTCTAAGCAAGGAAACTGCCTGCTGCTATTTGTTTCCACTGCATACTGGCAAAACTCACTAAGCACGTCTACACATGTCACTATCATTGTTACTGTGCCATATGCATGCCACATGGTTATTTTTAGGAGTTACTTTGTGGTAGTGGCACACTATAATGGGGGAGTGCATTGCTATAGCAAACTATTTGCTGGTGCATGTGTAGATGACTGTGGATGCTATGTCACTGTAGCACGTTGTTATGGCGACATAGAGTCATGTGTAGATGTGCCTTTTGTGTAAATACACAAGATTATGCCAACCATATTTCTAACTTTTATCACCAATTCTTTTTGCTAACAGAAACAGCCTTGCAAAGCCCCAGATATGGACTAAGCTCAAGGCATGGGCCAACACTATTCTAACTGCTTCTGTGCCTGCTTTTTAAAAAGCAGTTTCTGTCCTTTATATGTTATAATCTAAGAAAGTTACTGAACACTTCATATAATAATTTATCATCCACTAAGCTGCTATTAGATGCCGAAGGCAAAGACGTCTAAGATCAAGCTGCTGCTGCTTTTCCCCTGCCCTCCAATTTACTGCAAAGAAGCTCGTGCTGCAAGTCTTATTATAGCTGGGCCTGTCACAGACTGACCATTGATTTAAAACTAGAGATAAGCCAGGTCACAAATATAATACTGATACCACCAAAATCCTTAAAGAGTCTGGGTTTTCCCACATGCAACACTTGCCATGTTTAGCACAAACCGGCATGGGCTGCAATTCCAATAGAAGTGCTACTATGTCTACATATTATACATTGCAGCAACAACAGTTTCAGAAACAAGGGTAAACACAGGAGCCATGGTGGCTCCCAGAGCAAATAATAAAGAAGAAAGCAAAAGCACTATTCCAAAAATATGCTCACCAATGATGAGGCAGCAGTATCCAAAGTCTTCACAATTTGTTGGCCTATTTTATTAGTTGAAATTAAACACCCAGTCCACAAGTAGCCCTTGAAAGTTCTCATTAATCTCTCTGATAATTACACAGAGCAAGGGATTTAAAGTTACGAGTAGACTGTATGATGCCTTTAAGGCATTGGCTTAGAAACTGTGAACAATATTTAAACCTGCCGCAACTCTGAGAAAGACAGAGGAAATACAAGATTCATCTGGTTCAGTGTGCTCTTGATGTCTGCCTTTATCTGCATATCTCTTCATACCTTATATCACCCTTCAAAGAATCTGGTGGCACCCTGGTTGAGAATCACTGATTTAGGCAAAACTCCCGCTCAGGTCAATTGGAAAAATGTGTCACATATGATTAACACATTTTAACCATACGTGACACATTTTTAAACACAACTGCCTTTTTCCCCTGCAAAGGAAAACATGCTAGTTATCACATTTCAGTCAAGATCTCCAATAACTCAGTACTTTTTGCTCAATAGAGACTGAATGAAGTGTTCAGAATTTAGCTCTCAAGACCAATACATTTTAAACCTCTATTTTTAAAACAGGGTAAAACTGCCCGCTTGGATACTAGATTCATTTTTAAATTAAAATGTCCTTTTACTGAACATAAAATATAGTTTCTAGCCCTTCTTGTCCACATTTTCCTTGGACCAGGTAAACAGTCATGCTAATACATATCATTTCAATACTGGAATCGAAAGTATCATATGATCTACCATGCATTTTTAGCAAATATACTGATATTACAAAGGTTAAAAAAACAACTCACTTACCCCACACTGCCATGAAAACAGCAAAAAAGACAGTAGCTCCATTATCAAAAAGGTGAGTCACCTGTGGATGACACCAATAACCTGAAGTTATTGAAGGTCTTATTCACAATTATATTGTTTGTAAAATGGTAGCAATAAAAATGTGTGGTATTCATAAGCCCTGATAGTCAGAAGGACTGATATCTTCTCCCAGAGGTCTAACAAATAAGCCAGACACCCAGGGCACTGGGACACATGGGAGAGTGACAATTACTAGCTGCCATTGTGTGCTGTTAACATGATTGTGTGGCTGTGGCTGATGTTTTTCCACCCCTTTCTCCCAAGCTGATGACCACAGTGGTCACCTCATTTGCCCTGTCCTAGTTATGCTGTTGTTGCTTTCTGTAGCCTCATCACCAGACGTATGGGACATGGAGGTGGGAGGTGTCAAGCATCATTTAAGATTATGCCTCCAGTCAACTGACCCACTATTGGTGCTGATCTGAACTGAGCATGTCTATGGGGAAGCTGGAAGTTCTCTCTCACACAATAGCGCAACTTATTTTGTAAGGCTGAGAATAAAACCTGTTTCATAAGATAAATTCTGAGGCAGAGTATTGCAGCAAATGCTAAGACATCATAATTGGTAACCGCTGATTACAATAAGTCCAATTGCACAGATATGTAAATAAGTTATATGGTCCGAATTCAATCCTACTAAGAGAGTACTGATGTCAGTATGGGTTTAATTTGATCTGCCATTTGGAAGATTTTACTTTACCATGCTTATTAAAGATATTCACAGAAGACTTCAGAAATGCTATTACTGAGAAAGAATAAACATTTCCTATTTGCATAGCTTATATGTACCTTGGCATAAACACAGCTGTCTGACAATCTCATGAAGGGACAGTATTTATCACATATAGGACACATTATGATATCTGTAGCTTGGCAGACTTCTTTACTGGAAAAATGGAAAAAGATAAGGATTAACGGGTTCATATCCATCTTCAAATGGATCAGTATATTTTGCTAATAAATCACAACTGGTTGTTTACATGTCTCTTATCGCATGATTTATCATTCTCAAGATGTCCTGCTGTCAACAGTCCTCTGAGGAAGGTATCTTTTATGACCATACCTTGTATGGCTCCTTGGTCCTCAAAGCAGTAATTTCTTTCACACGAAACAACATTCACTTTGGAAAAGAGATATTGAAGGTTCTTTTTGTTTGTGAACAAATTAAAAACAAAAACCTAGACACCTAAACCTCCCACCCCATATTACTACAAAATGGGAGTGTCTATACGTGCATTTAGGTGTGCCTAAATGTAATGTGCATTAAGGCAATTTAGGCTCGCGTCTACACATGCATGCATTAAAACAAGTTAACGCTGTGCATGTGGACTGATGTGGGACTACAGTTAGTCCCACGTTGGTCCATACACAATGTTTATGTGCCTTAAAGCATCTACATGTGTGTTAATGCGCTTTAGCTATTTGCACCTAAATTTGATACCTGCTTTTGCAGGTATAGACGCACTCAATAGGATTCAGAGCACAGTCCTGCAATGGCAGACTGGGGAGACAAGATGAGGTAGCAGCTCTTCACAACTATTTCTTTCGGAGCCAATAAAAGTTAACAGTAGGAGGCAAGAACAAAACAAGTACAGGTTATGGGGAGTTTGGAGAGTTCCTTTTTCAGACATGGCCTCATGAATCCTAACAGAAGCTCTAGGTGGCGCACACTCTGTAAAAGGTCTCCTGCCCTGTAGCTCAGAGAAGCCCAGCTGCTGAGATGCTCTTGGAGAGAAAATTTCTTTCCCCTCTGTCAGCTGCTTAGGAAGTGTGCAGGAACCAATGCTGCACCCTCTCCCCACCACGTTTAGGGGGTAGCACTGGGAGAAACTCTAGTTCTCCATGGTCCATGAATTAGAGGACTGTGTTATATCAGCCCATGTGCAGGAGTGCGAAACCAGAGAAGGTCATTACATGCTAGTTATTGCCTACTAACATCTATACGCAGTTTTCCCTGAGAATCGGGTTGGTTTTTTTTAAGAATCAGTAGGATAAGCTGAATTTTGCAAGAAGAAATGAAACAGTTAACAGGTCAAGGCTCATGGGAGGCATCAAAGCTATTCACAACTCTAAAGTTGCATTTAATTGGGTTAATTTTACCAATAAACATGATTACTTTACCTGACTTGGCAGTGGTTCAAGGTTGTGACTCCATACAAAAAGACAAATAATCCAATGAAGGCAGCTGGGAAGAGCATTCCTGTGTACCAGCCTAACCAGGCAAAGTACAAACCAATTTTCTCACCAAAATACCGTCTGTTTAAAACACAATAGAGCAAAGTTACCTGCTAGTTTATGTATGTTTTTCTGATCACTGCTTGCTAACAGAAAATGAAGATTTTAGTTATATCTTAAGGGAGAATTTAGACCTAGGGACATTAGTTTTTAAGACCCAGCTCATATTTAGGCTTATTTTTAATACTAATGCATATCTAAATACTCCCAGAAAGTGTCTACATGAGATGTTTACCACACAGTAGACTAACTAGGTGTGCAGTAAACATTTTGGCATCTACACATGCATCCCTAGTAGACTGGAGTAAACTAATTTACTTTGCAGCAGGATAGTACTTGTATTTTAAAAACTCCTCTGCAGTGCACATGTAGATGTTGCCCTGGCTGGCTGGGGCATGAGGGTGCTTTAGCATGGGGCCTGCCTGCTCGCACACTGAAGCACCCTTATGCCCCAGCCAGCCCCTCCATGGCATGTTGAGGCAGGAGCATCCCCAGGCTGGCAGGCTAACCCCCAGAGCCTCCTGCCAGCTGGGCCCGCTCCAACCCAGCTCAACATTCTGCGATCCTGGGCGCACATGCAAATGGCAATAAACTCCGGAATTTATGGCCCCCAGGCACATGTTCAAATGGTGCACCCAGAAGCAATAAACTCTGCAGTTGGCATTTATTGCCATTGCATTAATTGCACATGTAGATGTATCCCCACCCCGCAGAGGATTTAATAGGAACTGCTACCTGCTGACCCTTAGTACTGTATGTTTAAGAAACAAAAGGCCGCATTCTTCTCCCAAGTACATTCCCTTGTTACTAATGAAATCAAGGTAGTTACATCAGCACAGACTTGGTGTAACTGGATGCATCTCCCAGGATGTGCAATTAATGTACATGAATAAACTCCAGAGTATATTGCTGCAGAGTTTATTGGTGCACAGCACATTGAGCCTAGGTCAGAGCAGCCCTGGCTGGCAGCAGCCCACGGCTACTCTGACCAGGTTCAATGTGCTGCAGAGGGGTTGGCTGGGGCACAAGGGTGCTTCAGCGTGGGGTAGCTGCTAGACAGCCCCCACACTAAAGCAACCTCATGCCCCATTCAGCTGGGCAGAATCAACATGTGTGGTGCTGTGCATGAAAAAACTGCAGCGCAGGCTTGTACTTGTATTTACAAGTATGAGCCTGCTCCAGTTTTTATTAGGTTTGTCCACCCTAATAGGGTTGCATGGGTAGGTGCACAGATGTTTACTGCAGAGCTAAGTAGGCAGCTTTGCAGTAAACATCTCGTGTAGATATGCCCAGTGGCAAGTAAATAAGACCCATCCTGCCTCTGAGTAATTAAGGAATCAGTGGTTACTCTCCTACATTATTAGCTTTTATTTTTTACTTTTGAAGTGCTCTTACCAGAGTCTCTGGAAAAGTTATCTTAGGATTCTAACAGGGACCAAAAGTGAAAAGCAGTCAGGACTCTAGCAAGCACTTTTCTGTTGCACGTGATGCTAGATTGTGGAAAACTGATGAAAGATTTGATTTTTCAACCAGTTTGTTTAAAAACAAATCCAAGTTACCCCCAGGAACCGCCAATATTTGAAAAATTATTTTAAATAATAATTTAAATTAATCAATTAAACATAAATAAAACAATAACATATAAAATAATTATTTTAAAATAATTTGGTATCAATCCACTAATATTTCTCTTCTTTACTTCCCTAGAACAATTATTTGGAATATTGTTTTGCAGATTTACAAACACAATAACCCTAGGAGAATCCTGGAATTATCCACAGTAGGAATAGGCTGAATGCACTATCATATGTTTGATGTTCTTTTGTAGCCACAACATAACTGTTAGGTGTGGATGCTGAGTATAAATCAATAATAACTATAACAATGATAATAAGGAGCTTGAAGAGTGCTTTCATGATTCATTTTAAAGAATGAGGAAATCTGATAATCTCATCCTTGACTTCATAAACTTTATGGTCAGTTCAAATCAAGCTGGATGTCAAGTCCATTTGGCAAGATTAGCTGATGCAACATATGCTTATGCAAATATGGACATTTCTGATTTATCCAAGGTCAGAGGAAGCAATACCAGTTGATTTCACGATTTGAATCAATCAACTGTTTGCGGGGAAAAGAAGAAATTCTGCCCACATAATCCCACCCCTATTTGCTTCTAGGCTAGAGACAATGTAGGAGAGAAGGCAACACTTAGCTAAAAATGGACTAAATCATAATTTAAAGTGTATGTTGAAGACTTTTCATACGGAGAAATATGTCTTTATTTTGACATTATTAACAGTTCTACATGTTTAGAGCAGTGGCCGGTAAATGTTCTACACTCTTTACTATCAGTTAGGTTTAGAGTGATCATTCCAAAGGCCAAATGTTGTCATATTTCTCTATAACAGGGGTTTTCTACCTTTTAAAATAAGTGCATCTCTGGCGGCACCCTTTTTAGTAAGTGTAACCCTGGGGGGGGGGGGGTGAGTGGCTGGACACTGAGTGGTGGGG